CAAAGCTTGAATGAGTTAGGTTCCCCAGATCATACAGGAAAGTATCTGTGGCTTTTTTTTTTTTTAATATTAATTTTTTTATTATTATTATTATTTAATACGGACACATCAGATTTAAATATATTCTCTTTGTGTCACGGTTACAAATTGTGAGGTTTTGTACGCTTGCGGATTATTAAGTTAGGTAAGATTAAATAAAAGCCCTTCTGCAAATCAGACCTGGATTTCGGTGCTGCTCAGAGATTTAATGTGAATGTCCCATTAGCAGCATGTGTTCTAGCAGTAGGTAGGGCTTGGCTGTGCTGGGGGCTGTGTGTGCACTAAAGAGATGTTCCTGCTCCTGAGTGTTCCTACTCTGCCTGAGTCAGTGATTTGTTTGTGGGGCTGTGCCCAGCTAAGAAACTCGTAGCAAGAGTTGTGTCCTGGGTGGAACAGAGGGATCTCCGTGTCCTGGTGCGTGCGTGTTTCTCTGTCAGCTGTGGAGCAGGATGGGAAGTGGGGCTGGAGAGTGGCACTGAGGCAGCCAAGAGTTGTGTTGGGAGCTGCATCCAGGGCAGAGCTGGGCTGTGGGATGAGCCGTGCACGCACTGCCCCAAACAGCAGCTCGGGCTGCACGCGCTCTTTGGGAACCGGGGCTGGGGGACTTCCAGACGGGAAACCCAGCCAGGATTGGTCTCAGAGCACATCATTTTGGGCTGTGTTTGGGGTATCGTGCTTGGCCTTCGGTGGTGGCCCTGGAGAAGCGCTGGGTCAAATGGGAATTACGTGGCTTTTGGGGTCTCGCTAAGTTTCTGAAACGGGTCCCCGTCACTTAAAAACTGTAAATGTGACACACAAATCATTCCTGTGGCGGAGAAGTTCTTCCCAGTTCAGGCAACAACATTCGGTGTCAATGCTGGCTTAATTAAATTTTCTTTTATGTTATACTGGCACCTCATTTTATGTCAGGATCACATTCCTAATGCGCTCAAAACCCTGTAGGACCCCAAACTTTATAGCTGTTGCTTTCCGTACAGCAGCAGCTCCTCCTGCAGAAGATCTGCCTCTAACAATGATGCATTTTGAATTTGCCTGCAGAACGTGAAATATATCTGCTCTAATATAACTGGAGTTTTTAGGCAAGTCAAAAGATTTTAATATGTTTATGGAGAAGAGATGCCTTCTATTTCTTTGGCTGTATTTTCATAAAGTTGAGCTATTTCACTATAAGGAAAGATGGAGGAAATAAATCTGAAATACTTGTTCCCCACCCATTTTTCCTTCAGCCGTTCTCATCCATAAGATATAACGGATGCTAATATGGCTCAGGCATCTTAACAATCATAAGTTTTGCTCGATGGCTATTGTCTATTGCTGGGAGCCCTCATGAGTCAAAAATCCTTCCTTCAGACTTAAACCCTGTTTATATTTGGATTTTTTTTTCAGAGCTATAACTCTGGATGCAAATGGTTTTTCTGTTGACTTGTCTGTCATTCTCTGATGTCTGCAGATATTTGATCAGCTCTATTCTGTGCATGGTGTGGCCCTTCTCTGGCAGCTACACGCATGGGAAAAAAAAATGTTATCAATAAGTTCAGAGGAGCCTCAGCAGACTCGGAGAAATTTCACACAAACATAAAACAAAACCTAACCCCTGTGACGGGGAAAGTTTACATTGCGCCAGATTTTAGCAGCTTTCTTGTGCCTTTGGTGAGATGTCAGAAGCGCAGGTGATTTTAATTTTCTTGTACAGAGAGGAATGGAGAAGTTTGGAATTTGCATGCATGATCAGGACCTGTGTTTGGGAAAATGTAAACTCATCACAGTGGAAAATGTGTTGTTTGGAGTCTGAGGGTGAAAACAAAGCTGAGGATTTTGGAGAGACTGCCTGAGCCAGATGGCCTGGTGCATTCCCAGTCTGGCAGCCCAACTGCTCCCTCCTGTATAATATACAGCCATTTGTTCTGGGATATTTACGCTAGAGCTGTTTCCATGTGAATGTTTGAAAACCATTAAAAATGAACATATTAGGAGAGATAAATTTATTTAATTTGTGTGAATACGTCGATAAGCAGGCTGTGAATCAAAGGCAGAGGGAGACTGGATAAAATAATTAGATGCTTCTGAATTGTGCGTGGAGAGGCAGAGCAAGAACTCCCTGTCCTCGCCCCGGGACCAGCTCCGCGCTGCTTGTCCGGGATAAACCTCCCTGGGATGAGTCGAGGTTTTGCCTGGGGAAGGGGTAAAACCTCGGGTAATTGAGGGTTAAGGATTCAAAGCCAAACAAATGTAATTCACAGTATTTTCTCTGTAGATATATAGTGGATACAAGCCTAATCCTCTCTGGGTGAAATTCTGGCCCATCTGAAGTCAATTGCAAAGCGCCTATTGAATTCGGTGGGGCCAGGATTTTATTTTCTCCCTGTGTGTACGGCTGTAAACGTCATTCCAAATCATTTTAGTTCTGTTTTGGAAAAGACCCTAATTTTAATGAGTTTTCCCTTCTCTTTTATTTTTGTAAGGGACATACTTTGTTTTGTGAGGCAGATGGAATCTGAAAGCAAGTGGATTTAGATGCACATTGGTGATTTCTCTCCTTCTCTTACTCTTTTAAAATCAAGGCCATGACATAACTGAGTAATATAATGACCATGATCTCATTCCTTCAAGATTGTTTTTCGTCCAGTTCTGAAAGCAGGATTGCTTGACTGGCAAACTGACACCACGAGACGATTCTGCCCTCACTTGTACCAGCATAAATCTGGATTTATTCAGGAATGGTTAAGGACAAAATCTGTCTCTGTATTTTTCCAGCTTGTTTGTCAATTCTTTCATTGCTTTATCCTACTGCGTCTATTGGGGGCAAAAAGTAGATTTAATGAGAACTGTAGCCTTGACTTTTATATCGCATTCCTTCCTTTTAATTTTTTATTTCTTCTTATTTTTTTTTAATAATGAATCTGTCGCTGAAAAGTTTAGGTCAATTTTTGGACGTACTTGACTGTGATGTGCTCAATGTAGTAATTTTTATTTGCTGTTAAGCAGTGAATTGAATTTGATTTAACTTTAAATGCAGCTTTATTTAAATAGAAGTGAGGAAGTCTTATATTTTTAACACTAATTTTTCGGGGCCTGATTTTGAAGTCCGTTTGTGCATGAGTGATTGTTACTCACTGGGACTTCTTGCAGGAGGGTTACTTGGGTGAGTAAAATGGAAGATAAATTTTGTGGGGAAATGTTTTAAGTTGTTCAGGAGAAGAAACGCTATTTTCAAGTGCTTATGAAACACCAGCGAGTTAAAACAACATGAAGTAAACAAAAAGAAAAAAAACAAAGTCTATAATTTTGCATTTCCTTTGCCGGTGTTTTGTTGTGCAACTCTGATGTGTATCTGCAGGCTTATTTTTAGCTCTGCTGTGGTCTAAGATTATGCACTGTAACTTTCACTTTGTCTCTCATTAATGTGATCCCTATTTGACAAAATCACGACCACGTTAGTGCGACAGGGAACCCCGACGCAACCTCCTGGTTTCAAAGCCTGAACTTAAAAACCGCATAATTTATTAAAAAAGTCAAGATATTTTTGTTAAAAAGAGTAGCTTTTCAAACCCGAGAGTTAAACATTTTCACAACAGTAACGTAGTAGACCCTTCCTGTAAAAATACTTCTGGCAGCTCTAACGATCTGAAACTTTAGCAGTTCCTGTTTCCTTTTTGAAACTAATTGTAGAATTTATGCTTCAGAGCGGCACGGTTTGCGAGGCGGTCGAGTATCTGCAGGGCTCTCGGGCAGCCATTCATGGGGGCAAAGAATTGGTGCTTCACACAAGTAAATTGGGATGCAGGAGTGGGGAGATGGGGATGAACTTCTCAGAAATGAGCCCAGAGCATCCTCCTGCTTCCCAGAATTTCCTAGAAATTCCTGCAGGAATAGGGTGGGCGAGAGGGGCTGCGTTTGACGCGGAGAAAACAAAATGTGCACGGGTGCAACTTCCATAATTGAATGCAAATAAAGTGAGAAGCAAATCCTTAACCTGGAGGGAGGCAGAAGAATGTCATGCACGTAAAAGGAGGGATCACTGATGCTAAGCACAACAGACAAGGTGATTATGTACCACAGTGTTGACTCTGTCCGTTCATTATTGCTATTTAGTTGAGTTACTTAAGCAGCTACCTGGAGGTTAAGTAAGCACAGCAGCAGGAAGGGGAGAGGAGGACAGAGGGCAGGGGGAAAAAGGAAATAAAATTTTGTGTTCTGGTTTGTCGTTTCTAGCACTTCCTTGGCTCCACTGGCAACAAGCTAACCCATCCTGGGTAAATTTATTTTAATATTTGGAAGTATGAGAAGAACGAGCTGAGTCCAGCAGCCCTCTCCTCCCATGTCACACTGTGATTGTCTGGAGGTGTTTGTCCCCACTAAAGGCCTCAGAAGTAGATCTGCTCTTTCCCCTCCTGCTCTGCATTCTCAGAGGGAGATCATTTTTTAACTGTTGATGAAGTCCAAGTAGTGCCATGAGCTTCCTCCTTGTCTGGCCTGTCCCACTGCCAGGTGGAACCTGATCTGGGGTTTTCTGGAGTCTTTGCAATGTCCCCCTGACTGACCCCACCAGGTGTCAGCCAGTTCCTTCACTTTTCTGGCTTTGCTTGGAAGAAGCTTCTCCCTATCTCCCCTTTTAATGCTGGGAATGAGGCTATTCTGAATTTGTCCCACCATCCTGCTGTAACACATGTAATTCCATTTTCCAAGGCTTCTTGGAAACATTCTGTATCTCTCTTGGGCACTGATGTGGAAGCAGCTCAAGGTGGGGGTCCCAGCTGGGGCCAGGGGGTTGCTGGTGTCTGTGCTGGGGGAACTTTCTGTGCATCCCCTTAATCCCAGTGCTGGGTTCACAGCTGTTGTGCCTCACTGGTGGAAATGAGGGGGCAGAAGCCAGGTGAGACTCTGGGCCCATTCGTGGCAATTAGTGGCAGCCTCTGTTTTATCAGCTATAAAACACCAGCTCTGGGGCTCTCAGGTTTTAGAAGAAGGCCCATAGTAAAGCAGAAGTTAAAATATTAACACTACCAAAGGTAACACAGGCACATTCCTGTTATTATTTATGGAATTATTAAGTAATTTTATAATGCATAATATTAATATTGCATGTTGCCTTTTAAATTGTGTAAGAGTCAGTGCGTGCTTCTTCAGATTTGTGTGCCTTGAGATCTGTGCCCCTTCTGGAAGTACCACACCTCTTACCCTTCATGGGTTTCATTTGCAAGGACTAGAAAAGCAGTTCTATATTAAGGTAACTCACTTTTTTGTCAGTATTTTCCACGCTTCCATTTCAATTTGATCTCGTTCCTTAAAATGTGTTTCATCCACAGAGCACTCTTCTTAAATTTCAGTCTCTATTTTATCATTAGCTCCAGGGAGACCCATCTCAGATGTCATTTTACCTGCTGAGTTTTTTCCCCCCCATTTCTTGTTTTAAATTCTGGGCTGGGAAGGTCACACCCAGCTCAAGGGTAGCGCTGATGCTCAGATGCAGGGGTGCTCATCCCTCCAAGGCTGCGGCTCCGATTCCAGCTCTGGAGTGCCACCCTAAAAGATTGAGAAACCTCAGTGCCAGCAAAAGATGCTGTTGCAAAGGAAGCTCCACTCTTGTTTTGCACCCTGGGGGCAGGGGTGGCTGGAGAACATGACTCTGTGGGGCTGAGATGGAGATCCTGTCCCGCAGGGGCTGTGCCCACTAACCCAGTTGGTGTGTAACGCCGATCCCGTGCTGCTGGTGGGAGCAAACGTAGACTCTTGAAATGTGAACACGCTGCCTTTCCACAGCTTTAGCTTAAAGGATTCTCCCTGCGCTGTCTCAGAGTCAAATTTCTCAAGCTGGTTGATCCTCTGTTTGTTTTGGTCTCCTCTGCTCTGGTAGGGCCTTCTCCTCACTTATTTATATCCCTGTAGCTCCGGAGGTGCTCTCTGGAAAGCGCTGGATCGGGAGGTTCAAGGGAAGAATCAGGCCCAGGCGCTTTCTCAGGAGCTACCAAGAAAATGCCTGGGCTGTGCAGCTTTTGTAATTAAAAATGCATGAGCTCTCTCTTTTCTGTCTTTTTTTTTTAATGAATAGGACCCAAAGTATACCAAGCCTTTCTGGTTTTTTTTTTTCTTTCTTTTTTTTTTTTTTTCCCCTCCTCTTCCTTTTAATGCTATTAGGTTTATATTTTATTCTGAATTGAAAAGAAAATTGTGGTTGTCTTGACTACTAAAAAACCCCATCCTACACACCGCTGGAGAGATGTGCAACAGAGAGGAGGGAATTTAGCTGTACTCAGCTTGTGTTGTTTTACAACTGCAGGTCTTGGAGCAGGTTTGGTGGAGATGCCAGGTCTCTTTAGCCTGAGCTGTGGTTTGAAACTCACTGAGCCTTTGCTTACCATGACATGTTTTGATTTTCTCCAAGCTCAACTTTATGTACAACTAAAAATTTGTTTTATTTCTAGGCGATAGTATATGAAGGCCAAGACAAGAACCCAGAAATGTGCCGAGTTCTGCTCACGCATGAAATAATGTGCAGGTAAGAAATACCCCCCTTCCAGTTAATTAGTGATGAGAAGATGAATCTGTCTCCCAAAATCTAGGTTGAACCTACAGCTATTTTCGGACTTAAATTTATCTTTCTTGCATTAAACAATCCCAAAATAACACAGTTCGGTGTGTGTAATTAGCAGCAAGGTCTCAGTCGTCACACTAGTTTTCAATTATTTATAAAGAGTTATTCTTAACAGAATGCTGCTGGTTTTCATTTAGACACTGTAGCCCACAAAAGGTCTCCTCACCGAAATTAACAGTCTATTATAGTCTTGTAGCAATAAACGTCTCTGTCCCCAATTCCCAACAAAAACTCCTCGGCAAAATGACAAAATAGTATTTTTTGTTTGTTTGTTTTTATGTTTTTTTCCTGGATGTGCATTAAGGAGTGAGGTCAGGAGGTTCTTTTGTCCTGGTTGCCGCTCACGTGGGGTCCCCACTTGGCCAGAGCGGAGCAGCTGAAGCTTCTCTGTGCAAAAGATGTCGTCTTCTTGATTTTCTTTAAACTTCCCCATGCAGAATTGGCTCTGCCCAGTGCTCTCTTGCCCTGCCTGGGATTGGTGACTTTAATTCAGTCAAATATCTTCTCCCCCAAACTTCTGCAGCTGCTTCCTTCTCTGTTCTGGCTGGTTGAAGTAGGCGAAGCCTCCTCTACTTCCTTTTTACCACAGAGCCCTTTGCCACCTCAGAGAGTTTGACCTCTCAGTCTCATTAAAGTTAGTGGGTGTTTTTTGCATGTCTGAAAAAATCATTTGTTACGTGTTATTCGATGGCAGAAAATAATTCCCTGGTGGAAGACGAGGCGTTCTTGCATAAGCTCATTGTTACAATCAGTTGTTTTAAGACTGTAAAAATGCCATTGCATGCGTTGTAACTTTTACAAAACACATTTACTAAAAAGGAGTAACTTGAGGGTAAAAACTAGTACCCACTTCTAAAAGAATAAACTTGGATGAGGGTTTCCTGGCAGGGGAGAGTCTTTGACAAAATACTCAGATGGAAACTTCTCTGCTGGTTGATGATTTTTTTTTTTTTTTTTTAATTTTTTAAAAAAAAAAATTCTTGGGATCTGCATGTTTTGTCCTCCACTGACAGCTCCTCCTGCTGAAACCCTGCTAGGGGAGGGTAGCACGCCATGATGAAAGCAGAGAAGGAGTTGCTCTTTTTGCTCTGCCAGCTTGGGTGAAACGTTGCACAGCTCCCCCTCAAATTCTTCCTTGCAGCAGGATTTTGGGGGATTAGAGTTTTCATGTCGTGCTTTTCTAGGCTGCTTCCTTCAGTGGGTTTGGCTTCTTCCAGGAAACCAAAGACATTGGTTTGCAGCTCCAGAACAATCAGCAGCTCCAAGAGGTGCCTGAGCCTCGTTGCTTTGCTGAGGGCTCTGGGACACTTCTGCCTTTCCAAATGGAATCCCAGTCATGTTGACAACTTGTAATTGTCCTAAAATTCATTGGCCCAATTAGCATGACTTTCACACTAGATACCTAGCTAGGAACAATTCATGGAAATATTAAAGGAGGCCCCTGACCTGATAAGACTCAAGTGCTTTTTACTTTTCTCCTGTAGCAGAGCAGTAAAATGGTGGGACTGGGCACTTGAATAAAATTAAGCACATGTTCAAGTGCCTGCAGTGTCAGGGTCTGAATCTGCCATTAGTCCTGGGTGATGTGTCCTCCTGATCCTTAACCAGCAAGGTTTGGTGGTAGGAATAACTCACTGAGCCAGAATCAACTACTTTAATGAATTAATTTCCTTTCAGATACTTCAGAAACATAAAGTGTAAGAAGTAAATTAAAACTTCATATGGTGGCCTGAGTTTTAACCAGAAGACCAAATGCCTACATCACAGATTTATAGCCATTCAATACACTTTGACGGAGACAAAATTATCTCTGCTCTGGGAATGTGGAAAGATGCACAGTCATTCCCTTCATTAAAGCACTTTTCACTTTCTTTGTTCTTAAAATTCACTGGCTCAGAAGCTTTCTCCTCCTATTTATTTACTGCTAGTCCTTGCTTTGTGTTTCATGGCCATAAGGTGGAGGGGTGGAAAAAACCCAAACTGACTGTAGTAGGCAAATGTTGTGTTCCTGATGGGGTGAGGGAGACACATTCAAATTTCTTACAGCTCATATTAGATATTTCCCATTTCCTTTGCTGCCCATACGTGTGTAAGAGGGTGCTGTTTGTTTACCAGGCCGCTTGACCCTATTGCACAAATCTGTCATCTATTGTGCTGCTAACACGCTTTTAAATTGCAAATCTGATGCTCTTTAGGGGTCTAGGAGGGGAAAAATTCTCTCTCCACACCATTCTGTTTCTCTTGATTTCTTGCCTGTTGTAAGTGGAAGTTGGGATGTGCTGAATTTGCACCAGGGGTGCAAATGCAGCCTCAATTATAAGCATAAAATTAGAGTCTGTTCCCCATTAATCAGCCCAGCTAATTGCTATGCACTACCATTAGCCATATGGTGTGAAAGACAGCTTGCTCTCCCTAAGATGAAATTTCTTCATTTCAGACATGAAATAGTGAGGGCTCTGTATTTTAAAATAGCTTGTTTTAGATATTTAATTTCTAAACAACTTTCAGCAGTGCTTTCTATCAAGGCTAACTGCACAATAAAACTTTGCATTTATGTGACAAAGCTGGGTATTTATAGTGTACTACAGCTACGGCACAGAGGAGACAAAGAATTCAAATGTATAAGAGAGTCCTGGCTGTGGTAGGAGAGCGAAGCTGAGGTTTGCTCCAGGTAGCTGTTTATTTCAAAGGATTTCATTGTGTTTTGTCAGATATAAAAATCTACACTGTTGGTGAAAATGTTAATAGCTGGGGAGAATTCACAACCTCAGTGGAATTTATTAGTATTGTAGGCAGCATGGGGAGGGACATCTATAGTTAATATTGCCTCAACAATTTCCATTATGAAACCTTCAGTGGCTTACAGCTTTGCCAAACTTAAACTGTTCTGGCTGAAATATCCTTTGCAGGGTGTCAGCCTCAGGCTGACTTTCTTTGGAAAGTTTCAGCTAAAATGGTTCAGTGATTTCTGAGAATGAGGTTGGAGTAAAATATGGGTTTTGTCTGTGTAAAATAAGATCTTACAGCTGTTTTGGCAAGGGGGTCCTGCACCTCCACTGCTCCAGGGTGAGGAGCCTGTTTGGGGCTGATGGCATCACTGGAGGGATCCCACCTCGCTGGGACCTTGTGCAAAATCTCCCTCCCAGCTTCTCTGGCGACTTGTTGGGGCCTGGCAGCCAAAGTCGCCTTGGTGCTGGCCACGTGCCACGGGCCCCTAATTCCTCATTGTTCATTGTCCCCAGGATGCACAAAGCAGGGCTCCTGCACCGGGAGCGCTCCGGCCACCGCGCCAGGGAGGGCATGGCAAGGGAGGCCTTGGGGCGGCACGGAGGCCTCAGGAGGCCTCGTCCCCTAGGCCCGGGCAGGGATCCCCAGGCACATGGAAGGGAGGAGGAGGATGGGGAGCAAGAAGACAGGAGAGCAGCAGGTCCCCAGAGGGTTGGAGTGAGGAGAAAGGCAGCAATTAAATCTGGGGGTGGTGGTAGCCTGGGGAAGAGCAGGATAGGGATGGTGAGGGGCTCGGGAATGAGCCATGAGGGTGACAACAACCGTGAGGTGCAGGAGCTGGAAATGTTGGGAGGTTGTGTTAATACCAAGGACTACTTGTTTCAAAAACAAGCAAACCCCACAAAAAAAAATAAATAAATCAATTCTCATGGGCCAACGTGGCATTGTGTCTGAGCTGTGGCTCCTGGTCCCACCCAGGGAAAAGTGTCATGGAAGAACAACAAAGACCACTCCTTGTCCTCCTGGCTGCACGGAACTGGTGTTCCCTGCTCTTGCACAGAGCCTTGCTGGGAGCTGGAGGGTTTCTGAGTGGTTTGGAGAAGCTCCTGGGAATTTTAAAATTCTTTCAGGGAAAGGAGAAAGGGTGCTGAATATTTAGGAACTTATTTCCAAGTGCTAAGTAGGCACTAAAAGCCAAAGCTTTTGAGGGAAATTGAATTAAAAGCACTTTTAACCAGGTCTGAAACTCAAGATCTGCTTGATGTTTTAATTCTTTGCATAGAAAGACTAGAGTGAAGAGGCCTCCAATTCTGCTGTTGCTGGGGGGCAGGGGGAAAGAGCACAAAAGGCAAAAACTAAATTTTAAAATATAATTCTCTAGATCATGAAGGAACATTCAGGGCCTCCTTTCTTGCCAGAGAGCCACCAGATGGTGGGATGTGTGAGCCATGCAGCCCTTCCACATCACCCTCAGATTGTGGTCAAGGAGTGAGGTCTCCTACTATCACTTGGGGTTATTGGGGTGCACTTTTGGGAAGGCACCCCAATTAAGGGGCCACCTTAGGAGCAGCAAAACATCTCAAAGATGGGTTGTCCCCACTGGTCAGTGCCTGACTCCATCTCACTTGTGGCAGGAGGTGAGACCGAGGTGTCCCTGTCCCCAGGCCCCCGTGGCTGCCTCTCCCTCTGGGTTAATGCCCTGGGAAGGTGCCAGCCTCTGGGTCTGGTGGTGTGTGGATGGTGGTATTGGCACATCTTGTGCTGGGAGCCTGGGAACCTTTGCTTGCCTGAGTAAGTGTGGCAATTTGTGTCCCTCCAGTCTGCTGGGAGAATGTCAGGACTAGCCCTGATTCGCTTCAGTCACAAGAACTGCATTGTCTTAACTTGTGCCAACTCTGTTTCTAATTACATTTTAATCATTTAAAAATGATTAGCAGTTTTTATTGCCTTGTTTGTGGGTAAATTTTCTCACCCCACACATTCTAGCTGCACTCCAATGACAAGTCCTTTTATAGGCAAAAAAGTCCCCGAACGTCCCCATGACTATTTACCTACAGCATATTTTATTCCTTCCTAAATTTTAATACTTTCAGGGTGCCAAGGCTCTGGCATTTTCTGGTGGATCAATTGTGGTATTGTGCTGTAAAATTAAGCAGTTTTTTTTGGCAATCCCAAACAATGTAACTTCCACCGAAATGAAGATACCGCACATGTGTTAACTGTGAAAAGTTTCAGCCCTGAATAGTTGCCTTGAAGCTTTTTGCGGTGAAAAGAATTATGTATTTTCCTCTCTTTGAAAACAAAATTATTATTTTTTTTTTAAAGCCATGTTTAAACAGGCTGTTTTTGTAAAAGGACCCTTTTTTGTTATCTTTAGTGTGGTTAGTTGCTTTATTGCTAATCTTGGTGGGTAACTGTATATTATTCACTCTATTGTTCAGCAACACAAGAGAACCTTTGTCATACTCCCAACAAGGCTATTTATATAGTGTGGCACTTCTGAGGGCTTCTTCCTGCCCTGATGTTCTTCCACCTTCTGGGGAAAGGAAAACAGATCATCTGAGAGGGAGAGTGAGCAGTGGTCCCTCCTGACAGCTGCTGAAATACAGGCGAGATGCAGGTCCCTGGGATGCCACTGGGAGCAAACTTAGTGGTTTCCAAAGATTTGGTTGTGTGTGGTTGAGGTTGACCAGAAAGTTTATTGAACAGGGAGATGTGCCCAGGTCTGGCCAGGGAGAGCAGCCAGGGTGGTCCTCACGGCCTGACACTTGGTACCATCGTGGGATGGGGTCTCTGCAGCAGCCCAGGCTTTATCCAGCAGGTCCTTGGGGACCAAGAAGGACTTGGGAACGTCAGGAGCTTCTTGATTTTTTTTTTCCCATTTTTTTTATTTCTATTTCTTGAAGTTTTGACTTCCTTGGGGGATTTTCTGTTAAGGGACATCAGCAAACAGGATCTTTCCTTGCGAGTTGGGGGTTTCCTCCCTGGGGTGGGTGGGTGAAATCTAAAAGCTTTGCTGACCTTTGTGACTGTGATTTGGTCTTGTGGGTTGACATGGGCTGGTGGGATGAGCAGGGCAGCTCCCAGCCACAGCTCCAGAGGCAGCAGGAGGGATTCCCACCTGGAGCAGCAACCTCCCCTATGAACTCACCTGCAATATATTTATGCCTCCTTACGGAAAACAACCCTTGACAAGGAATCATCAAAACACGACATTTTAACTTCTTTCAGGAAACAACGAACCACCTTAGCTCAAAAAGAATCCCAGCCTCGAGGTCAGCCATGGAGCAGTGCTTTGTGAGACAGAGCTTGTATTTCACATGCCTGCTTTGTATCTGACCTGATGCAGGGCACCAGCGGCCAGAGCAGAGCTCTCTGTGGCATTAGTGATCATTAACATGCTCGGAAAACTTGGGGAAACAGGCGCGCTCGAGCATAAAAAGCTGCTGCTGCTGCTTGCATTTTAGTTCCCCCATTAACACCAGCGTTTCTTAGAGGGAGAATAATTGTGCTTTCGGAGTTTGGGGGGAGGTTTGCCAGTAGCTGGGAATTGTGTGGAAGCAGGAATATCTTGTGGATGTATAACGCAAGCGTTAAGCAAATGTAAAAACCAGGCTCAGCAGGGAAAAATCTGCCTTATTTTGTGTGCCAGCGTCTGCGGGACAACTGTTAAACCCTGCGGAAAAGAGGCTACAAATAGGCAGCTCTCCCTGTTTTGGGCGCTCCTTGAATTATTATTTGTGAAAGGGGCAAAACCCCTCTCTTTTTATATTTTCCGTTGCTAACCAGCTGTGCAAGAAGTTAAACATCGTAATTAACCCATATGTGACCCAGTACATTTGACTGATTTGCAGGCAGGGCCGGCAGGGTAACTCGAGCTGGCAATTTGAACCCACCATGTTCGTAATGATGATTTTACAGTGTAATGGTCGCACTAAATCCTTTCGCTTTTGCTCTGTAGCCGCTGTTGTGACAAGAAAAGCTGTGGCAACAGAAATGAGACTCCATCAGATCCAGTGATAATTGACAGGTAAGGACTGCTATTGTTTCCTTCCTTTTTTTTTTTTTTTTTTTTTTTTTCCCCTTCCTCCCTCTCCTCATTATAATGAGACACCTGCCCTGTGTTGCTAATGGGGAAGAATTAGGAGGATATATGGATGAAATTTTGGTTTTTTTGATACAGAATTAGTTGTGCTTTGCAGTTGTGATTGCCTTGGAAGGGCCATACGTGGGATAACATAGGGATACTGGAGCACCCTGCTCTGTGGAGGGCTGCAGCTCTTGTAACTGATTCATGTGCATAAAGAGGAGATTTTTCTTTCTGACTTTCTGTGACTCAATTCACATGCTATGCCAGGGAAGCTTCAGGAATAAAATAATAATAGTTTGTGATTTATGAAATGTGGTTGGATGCTTATAAATATTTAACTTTTATTTGAAAAATGTTTGAATCATTATCACTTAGCTACTGTAGTTCTGTTGGATGCAATCCATCTACATTTTAAGGCTTTTATTTATGCATAAAAACAGTTAAGAAAATAGATCTGCAGCGTAAGGTTTTTTCCCTCCTCTTATTTTCTTTGGTTGGAATACTATTTTGACTATATTGTCAGTTGATTAATTCATTTTTGCCTGTCTTAATTATTGTGTTTTTAAACAGATCCATATTGCTAATCTGACATCACTGAGTAAATCATTGTAGTACAATACATCTATTCCTGTTGTTCTGAGCCCTGTGTAGTTTCTGTTGCTTGCCAGTTATGCAAAATGGTAGCCAAAGGGCCATTTTTACATTTTAATTGTCCAAATGTGTTGTCCAAAGCCGTGTGGGATAGCCGGGGTATTGTGCAGCATTACTCTAGAAGAGTTAAATGGCAACCAAGCACCAGAAGTGTCTGTGAGGGCTGGGGAGAGCAATGTCCTGCTCTGATCTGTGACTAGAGGGACCCCAAAGGGACACCCAAACACACAGGGGTGAGGGCACAGAGCTCGTGCCTCTCCTTGCATTGCTGTCTGAGTTGTTTGCTGTATAAAGTTGGAAGTATCTTCCATGCCAGAACATCCATTTTATGAAAGAAGGTGAGGTGGGTTTGATGTGTTGGGGGCCCTGCTGGAGAGCAGTCCAGAGCCTTGTGCTCATCCCAGCTCCCAGTTCTTGGATGGGCTGGGTAGGAAAGTGCTTTTATTGGGTGCTTATAGCAGATGTTTTGATTAGCTGTAATAAATAATGCTGAGAACATTTAAATCTCAGAAGATATCCCTATCTATTTTAACTAGGCATATTTTCATCTTCTCTGAGCATCAGGTAGCACCAGAGGAAGTGTGTGTGGGGGAAAGCCCCCCAGTGAAACCTGTACAGAGCTGTGTTTTATAAGCATGCTGCAGAGCTGAACACTATAAACATGGTGTTAGAGTGGCATTTTGAGCAACATGAAAGCTACAAAATTCACATGAATTTTTCATTGTACTGGAAAGTGAGATGTTAAGATGCTAATGGCAGGTTTACAGAAATATTTTGTTTAACTATCTGGTATGCAAAACTGCTGGTTGCAAATCATTTTAAATTTTGAAAGCCAGAGATGCTGTCTGTTACAGGCTTCCTGCAAAATGAGGAAAATAGGAAAAAACCCCAGCTTTAGCTTCCTGAGTAGTGATCCATTCCTCAGTCTTTACATGAATTGATGCAATAGTTACCAGTTTTGAAGTTTCTTCTTAAAATGCAAGCTAAACACAATTCAAAGCTGATAATACAAACCCTGCCTCGCCACCCGCACTGTATCACACTTGGCTTGTGAATGGGTTAAGCTTTTAAGTTCTTCACTTGGTTTTAAATTGTGACTTTGATACAGAAGGTTGATATGACTGTGGTTTGAATAACACTTGATTTTGACCTGTTCCTGTGGGTTGCAATGGCATAAGAAATTTGACTCAGCAGTACTGTAATTAGCCCTCCCCGTGTTTTTGAAACAGGATTGTGTTACCTGGATTGCATTAGTGTGGCTTCTATTGTTGCCGCTTCGCATCTGTCCCAGTAGGGTACTTAAAACCTTTTCTTGGCTGGGGCTAGTTCAAACAATTTAGGCCAAGCAAGTATGTGCTTTATACAGTTAGTGGCTTTAGTGATGTTTCTTGTGACATTTATCCTATTCATTTTTCTTGTCCCCTTTGGTTTGGAAAGGATGAAGTGATTTATACGGAGCCTTTTTACCTTAAAACGAGTCCTTTAAAACTGTTCCGTGATTAAAATGCCTGCACAAGTCAGGCCATGTGTTTGGTTGTGCTCCATTGTCACTTCTCCATGCACACAGTTTTTAACTATTATGTCAATTGATATGCAAAGCCATATTTAGTTATTTTTATTTGCACTGAGCTTAGAGAATTCATTTACCATTTGGGCTAAAGCACTCCCACATGCCTGATGCTCTGATCAAGTCTTTGCCTATGGATTTAATCTAACTCTTGCATCAAATCTCGTGAATCCACAGACTCTGACCTAACATAGAATTTAACATAGAATCTATCCATGGGATTTTTGACATATGTACTTACATGGAAATGCTGTCCTCTTCTGACAAGTTGGAATACTATTTGGGATTAATTAATTCTCTTTGATGAGGCTGGAGAGACTTGGGATAGAGAGGGCTCTGGCTTTGTGGTGGTTTGGTGAACTTGGAGAAAAGGCTCTTTGGCAACTTCAAAGTTACACATGTTGTGTTCTTCAAGCCCTGGATAGATGTGAAATCAAGTTGTGTATTTCTCTTTAATGAAAATGTGAGCTTTAAGAAAGAAAGTCTGTAGCTGTGTTTTAAACAGGATATAACTTTATTCTCTGTAAAATTGTTTTATACTTTGCTCTATTCTAGTATAAGCAGATACAGCAGTGAAAGAGACCTAAAGAAATTTATACTCATGTAAAACAGTGATTTAAATTTTCTCTGGAGAGCAAAATAAATCTATTATGATTACAGAGCAGTCATCCCAAGGAAGTTTCTTGGAAACCTGTGTGTGTCTGTATCATCTTCTTAGCATAGCCTGTATATTTTATCACTAATCCAGTTACACATGTTGAGATGAAGATCTGATGAACAGGAACTCATTTTAAAAGGGGTATTATTGTCACAATACAAATGCACAATTCCTCCTACGAGTACAGTGGCAGGGCTGTATTGTAATCACACTTAAAGAAAACACAGAGCACTTCCTGTTATTAAATTAAATTCTAGATTGATTTAACTTTCAAATTGTAACTCATATTTGAATTTAAAAGGTTCGCAATAAAATTCCTGTGAAGAAATTGAATAAATTGTAGTTTTATTACCACTCTGGATATCCTGGTGTCCTAACCTTTTTCCTTACAGTTATCTTAGTTCAATAAATAAAACCTCATTAGACTATTCCCATTTCAACGAGTTTATTAAATTTTACAGGAGTAATTAGCATAAGCTGTGCTAATTTTTCTGGAAGACTAATGAGAGAGCTTCCTAATTAGGTTTGCTTTGTAAGAATCAGAAAAGATGATAATGACAAAAGTCACATAGGGGAGAAAGTGGGGCTTTATGTTATTCCTTGGTTCAGGAAAAAGGCTCCTCTCTTGGCACTCTGGTCCAAACTTTTAAACCCAATTTACCATTGTCAGGACCGATATTTAATGGTGTTACCAGTGCCTTCTGGGGCTTCTTTACCTTTTATGGCTGCATCCAGTCAACAGGAGCCCTAGTGACTGATAAAATAGGAATAACCACTGCAGTCCCAAATATAGTGAGAGAAAATATATATACCATATATATCATATATATCCTGCTTGAGACATTGCATGGAAAAAGGGCTGAAAACAGCCATGGCTCATCCCAAATTTTGCTTCTTCCCAGAGCACTTGAGCAGGCTGATGACAGTGGCCTGGGATTGGCTTTGCTAATATTTACCAATAGAGGTGGAACCTGTAGTGAGAGCCTGGCCACTGTCTGTGCTTTGGATTGATAATCTTTAGCTGAGGTAAAGTCAAGGGGCTTTGTGCTGGAGCTGCCCTGGGAGAGGCTGTGTGACCTTTGGGGGCAGGGGATGGCCAGGGCTTCTCCTGTTCCTGCTCTGGTAATACACTGAAGTTCTTCATGTGGCATTTTGGGGGCAGTTTGGGAGCAATGAGGAGGTTTGTGCCTTTCCAGTGCCATCACAGCTCTTGTCCATGGAGCAGGGGTGGGGATTCATGGATTGGAGGTTGTAATATTTCCTATGCTTTGATATCAGATGACAACAAAGTATATTTTAATGCACTGTTATCAGGAATTTTGTGCTGGAAAGCCCCCTCCTCATCACTGTGCGCCTTCCAGAGCTAGATGGGAGTCATTGATCCATCAGAGGAGCTGAAGCTGGGTGACAGAGCTACCCCTAGCACTGCAGAGATGTCTCCCAGACTCTTTTCAGGCTGTGCTGCCTAAACCCCCTGGGCCTCTAAGCAGGGTGTTCAGAGACAGAAGTTGGCCTCCAGCGCTTCATGTGAGCTCCAGGAGCCTGTGAACCCACACATTTCTGAGAGGGGAGGGACCCAAACACACATCTTCCAGGATTTGGTAGTGATTGATGCAGCTGAGAAGCATTACCCAGAACATTTCCCACATGACTTAGGCAACCAAAGGCATTTTGAGCTGTTGTGAGATAAATGGGAGACACTCTGATCAGTAGATGCTTCTCACACTGAGACTCAGGCTTGCATGCTTGCCCCTTTACGAGTGCTCCTCATGCATGTGGTGTCAGTCTTCTTTCTGGTGATGAAATCCCTAGAGCTGGGGGTAACTTTGCAAGGATTCTTGCAAAAATCTCTTGGTTTCATCCTGCTGGGGTTGGCACATATCACTTCTGCTTATAAATTCCTTTATTTTGCTCTTGGGGCTGAATGAACTTGGTCAGGGTCAAACCAGCTTCTGCTTATTGTTTGTTTGATTACTCTTTTCTCTGCCTCCAAGTATAAGAGTTTTTGTATGATCTCAGAAGTATCATGCTAAACTTTAATTTGGTCTGAGCTTCGCTCAGAAG